CGGACGGACGGACGGTAGACGGACGTACGGACGGAAGTGACGTCAGCCAAGCCATGAAAAATCAACTCGATGGTTTACCGTTTTTTCTTAAGTATGGTACTCCGAAGGCCCGCGCGGGAGCTCCGCTAATAACGTTAAATGACGTAAATTTGTCGTCTGATTTCGGGATGAAAGCYACTCAATGTGCACGGCCATCTAAATATTCTTAAAAGAYCAAAGATGTCAAAGATGTGGGCAAGAATTTGTCACTCTAGGTGGGCTTGGGGGCTTGGTCAATGGACACGTTTCTTTAGTTACATTTTGGAATTCTTTCACTATCGAAAACCCTACCATTTTCACAATCAACGTTGCTCGATCCACACTTTCACGGTGTGTCTGGAGCCGAAAAAGATGAAARCTGGCGAGGTATTCTCAGATTTAACTGTAACTTACTTGTAAACGATCTTGTTTTTCAGGGATTGGTAGTTGAATAAAGGTCCATTTATCAGTGGCGCTTCTATAGCTCCATTCTTCTGTACTCCTGTTGTCGGTTTGGAATTCTACAGATAATTTTCTTCCAAAATATTTCCATCCGCTGTAAAACCAAAATCGAAGGCATCGCCATCCTTCTGCTTTTGGATGAATAAGTGGACTTAACATATCCCAATCACATGAGCCATTGTGGTCTGAATAACATGATGGATTCCCTGTAGACAAAAAGTGATACATTGTTTCATTCAGCCTCTCTGGAACCCAGGGTAGAATAATAGGGGCAAAAATATCCTGTAACATCCAACGCAACAATAATGGGTTGCAAGTTGCAAAAAAGCTTTTGCTTTCCAATGCCTTCCACTCCCTACTTCACCGTCTTTTTAAAAATATTTATTGATTTTTCAACACTTACACCTGTTTTTCTGAAACTTAAACTTCACCGCCTAATTGATAATCTTAAACATCATATCTCATTTCATTGGTTTCGTTAGTTTTATTTCGGAAAGCCCCAGAGTCATGTTATATTATCAAACGTTTCCCATTTAATGAATWTTAAAGTATAGGAATACTGACATATTAAACGGCTTACTTTGAGAATAAACTGAAGCACATCCTCCTTTGACAAATCCCAAATCGTCAAGAGCAGCAAAGTGTTTGCTTACATATCCAGTGAGAATAATCTATGATGACAAATRAAATAAATAATCAGTCTCAGTACGAACCTAAGTTCTTTCTTTCTTCCTTCCTTAAGGTGCCTGACTACTTTTGAACGTTCTATTTGAGCTCACGATGTGCGCGCGCTCAAAAACCGCTGAATAATTTTCACGATTTTATTGAAGAACCATACACGTTTTGAACTTCAAGTTGGCAAAACCTTCAAATTTTGCATGGTACTATATACTTTTTTTGTTATTTTCTTCCGGAATAACAGGAAATATCCATTATTATATCCACATTATTATATAGTGCCGACGTGTTAAGGCCGGTTWAGACGGTACGATTTTCGCCTACAACTATCGTATACAACACGCTCGCGCCATCCTACAACTCGAGTCGTAGCGTATAAACCAAGCCTACAACTCGTCTACGACAGACGCGTGCAACACGAAAAAAGTTGTAGGATTTTAAAACATGTTTTAAAAAGCTACAACAATCGTGGGTGTCATGACGCGAGCGTGTTGCATACGATAGTTGTAGGCGAAAATCGTACCGTCTAAACCGGCCTTTAGGCTGCCTTTACTCGAGTTCCGTAAATATTAATATATTTCCTTATTTTCCAATAGTTTTCCAATATTTTTCAACAAACTTAACAATTCACTTTTATATAGGAAGCTTACAAATCAATTTATTGCTCGATATGACGTTTTATACACGGTCGGCGCTCCTAAATATCAGAAATATTCTACTCTCACATGGCCGGCAGCCACCATTACCATCGAATGTTTGGAATACGCTTAAGTCTTTTGGCATCGTAAAGCAACAGAGAGTTGTCGAGCTGGAGTAAGACATAAGCATTCTATGTTCCGCAGGGCTTATAATGACGTTCGGAAGGGTCACTACAATGAGACTACAACGACAACTACGAATGAAATTACTACCATGAGGAGCTTTATGTAGCTTAGGATTTCCCTGCGTGATATCTATGGCGTCTTCCTACTCGCATTACAGTTAACTAAGTTGTGGTTCATAACTCTACACACTGTATTAACCTTTGCTTCCAAACGCAATTAACATTGAAAGATATTTCGCTTGCAGTTCTGATAAATTGGAAAATTTATCAATCTATACTGTAATTAGAGCAATTGAGCATACTTTTCGTTACTAACGATATTTTAAAATTATAAGCGCAAGTTATCAATCGGAATCTAAAATAATACCGGYAGTTCAAAGTTTGGTATTCACATAGTTTGAAACATAGACTACAGGTCCTCTGATGAATTAGATAAAGCATTGCAGAATTTGGATTGTCTCTCTATCATAGGCGACCGAAGGCTTTATGCGTGTAGCTGCAGTATTTTGATTTAACTCAAAAAAACCATCAAGTTGACAGCTAGCGAAATAAGGTGTCGCTACTTATAACGCCCTTAGTTAAAAGTTAGATTCCAGCCAAACCACGCRCAGGGTCCATGTAACATTTCTTATTGTTAACTTGGGCCTCTTTGAGGCCCAAGTCAGCGGAACACCAAAATCCTAACTGGTATAAAGCTCCTCATGATTGATACGTACAAGAACTACAAGCATGGCTGACTTCACACCTCAAAGCAAAACTAGAACTCTTGTTCCGTTGACTCGTCGTGTAGAACAATCTCGTCGAATTATTCCTAAATTTATGGTAGTTCGTATCAGTGATATGGTTGCAAACTCATCAGAGCGTTAAATCTAAAATTGCCTTTTATGGTCATCAATTGTCTTCTAAAACTAAAGAGAGAATCGATGAACCAACTAGTTATGAACCAATCAGAGCTTTCGTAATTAATGAGGCGGGAAGTCTGAATTTCCGAAAGTTGAGTTTGGCTTGTTATCGTATGACTAAGGTTGGCACTGTGGGGATGGGAGAGGATTATTGTCAGGCGACTTAAATTACTCGTGGGTGGGAGGGACTTCAGTAACTCATGATTTGAGTTATATTTTACATTTTATAGTTTATAGTTTATAGTTTATAGTTTATAGTTTATAGTTTATAGTTTATTCGTTGCCAAGAAACTGTAAACAATCCGAATAACTCTCACGATTCCTCTGATTCATAAATCTAGTAAGAGTAAACTCACACTCGAATACTCGTTCAATGGTTAAACCGGGAGCCATTCAGTCATTACTAGGTGATTTATCATGTCAACATATTGATTTATGTTTCATCTCAGAGACATGGCTACACGAGCGATTTGATGCGAATCTCGTTTGTCCGAATGGTTTCAGTTTAATTACGAAGAACAGAATTAACAGAACTGGAGGAGGAGTAGCTATTGCAGCAGAAACGACTGGAAGATTAAAAGTATTAGCAGCCCATCCAATGATAATAATTTTGAATGTTTATGGTCTGAAATTCGGCCGACTTCTTCTCAATTGATCTACGCTGGCGTTGTTTGTCATCCACCCGAACCGGTTTATAATCCTGATGAACTTATTGAACACTTATCTGATGGTCTTGAAACCTTACTTACTGATAATCCTGGCTGTCGAGTCATCTTGGCTTTCGATATAAAGCAACTAAGATTATTAGACTCTCTTATAAATCAATTCTCACTATCTTAACTTGTTAAACAACCGACCAGAGGAAACAATATACTCGATGTTTTCCTTACTAATACACCTTTTGACTTCAGTACGGTGAAATGTGTGGACAGTCTGATAAATACAGATCACAAGAGCGTTATAGTAAACCCAAGAACTAGAACGAAAGCTAAAAGAAAATGGATCGAAATTCGTGATACTCTTTAATCAATCTAGCTATCGATATATTTTTCCCTGTTAAGAAAGTCAAAGTCTCAAGTAATGACCCAACGTTTGTCAGTCCTCTAGTGAAACATCTTCTTAAAAAAAAGAAATGACTATATTAGAAGGGGAATGCTTGATGAGGCTAACGCACTTCAACCGAGAATCGACCACCTTATATTAGAAMACCAGATTAGTGCAATTAAAACTACGAACAATCAATATGGGTGCTCATCAAGAAAATGGCGGAAAACACCGAGTGGATAAGATTACAGGGAGAGTGTCTAAGGAGGTGCCTTTGTCTAGTGTCTTTAATCTGAATGAAATTAAAAAATATTTTCAACATATCAACACCGACTGTCACTATGAACCGCCCTCTATCAWRACTATTGATGTCGATAATACTAATATTCCTACTATTGGTGAACTCACTACTCTAAAGTTCCTATCAAGTGTAAAGAGAACAGGAGCTGGACCTGACGGAATTAGACATTGGTTCTGGAAGGATTTTGCTCTTGAGCTTGCTCCTGCAATAACCTACCTGTTCAACCTGTCTATCAAGTCTTAAGCTGTCCYACTTCAATGGAAATYTGCAAACATAAACACCACTCCCTAAATAATCTCCTATCTCTAAAATGGAACAATTAAGACCTATTTCAGTCACGGACATTATCATTAGATTATTTGAACGTATAATTTATACTAGACAGCTTAAGCCTATCATAGAATCCGTTTTTAATGGTGACCAGTTTGCATATAGAAAGGGAAGGAATTCTACCATGGCACTTTTGTTATGCCAACATATGTGGTTGAAATGGCTTGACGGTCAAGCTGATAGTGTRAGGGTTTTTGCTTTCGATTTTTCTAAAGCTTTCGACCATGTTAATCATGCTGTTCTTTTTAACAAGCTTAGTCAGCTTCCAATGAATCCATACATTTATAACTGGTTAAGGGGTTTTCTTACAGGGAGACAACAAAGAATTGCTATTCTGATAATAAGACTAGTTTTTTTTACCAATAAATAGAGGCGTGCCACAAGGTACAATTGTCGGACCAATTCTATTTTCAATAATGGTAAATGATATRAAATCAATAAATGATTCTAGTACCTTATTAGTAAAATACGCAGATGATATCACACTAAGTACCTATAGAACCAAGTATAATGATTGTGCTTCTGAAGAGGTGGATTCCATTAAGAACTGGGCTACCGATAACAAAATGTCTATAAACTTATCTAAAACTAAAGAGCTAGTGGTTAAGGGTAGATAAGATGCAGCTATTCCACCTCCTCTACCGGGTATTAAACAGGTGGATGATAATATAAACTACTAGGGGTGTATTTTTCAATCGTAGTCCAAATAACAGGGACTCTCAATTTGACAATATATTAAGTAAAGCGGGGAAAAGGAACCGATGTATATATYAAGAATCTGCAAAAGGTACGGATATAGTCAGGAGAATCTTCATTATGTCACTTTAATGTCACTTTTTAAATATGCTCTTCCTGTATGGGGTGCGTGCAAGTCACTCAAAGTTACGTGTTCGGAGGAAATTACTCATGTTTCTTCCTTAGATTCAGTTTTATGATTTTTTTTTGTACAGACCTTGATTTTTGCTATTTTCTTCGAAAATTGTACAAACGCATGTCATTCCGGAGTGATTATCTCAAAAACAAGCTCGGGAGACCCCAATTTTCTTTGCAATTTTGAAATCACTATTAAATTTCAGGTTAAAAAAGTTCCAATTTTCAATATACTTGATAAAGTTACTTTTAGGAATACAATTTAATAAGAAAACTAGTTGTAAAAGGCAACGTTTCGCTGTCATCTCAACAACATCTTCAGGTCTAATGAAAACTGTGTAAACTCTACTATATGTAAACATAGCTAAAGGAAGTGTGAAAGTTCAATGAATAACAATGAAATAGATTAAATCAAGCCGAAAAATGACAATAAAAGCGCAAAACAAACAAAATAATTATTAAATGAAAACTTTCGCTCTAATAGAGTCTGATTGTTTGTTAAGTTCAGGTTTATTATCTATTTCATTTTCAATGTTCTGTTTATTATTTACCGAAGTAGTCAGCCACCTTWATTATTTTTTTCATGCATTCATGCATCGAAATATCATTCATTCGTTTCTTTTCAATTATCTTTTTTCCCCTCTTTCTATCTTTTTCTTTATTTTTTCTAATGCTTGATTCTCTACAAACCTTTCCTGCTGAGTTTCCTGGTATCTGCACTTGTCCAAATGCCCAGACCCCAGCAGTAGGGTTTGAAGTATTCCAGAGAAGCTTGGTGCTGATAGCAGTATGGACAACAATCTCAAGTTTTGAGTTAGATGTATCAGGGATAAAATACCAGAACTGCATGCAGGCGGTGACGGTTATCTTCCAATGCTTCACGAGTCTTCCATAACCTTTTTTGGTGYTTTTGTTTGACATTAAAAGAATGTAACTTCCTACATCAAAAACAACAAAACCAACATTTTAGATGCTTATGGTGCCGGGTGCCGTTAAGTTGACGATTGCCGGCTATTGCT